GAAGTGAAACCTTCTATAGGCACGTTCATTTTGAATGGGGAAAATCGACAGGTTCGCGTCATCGACATTCTAATGTTACGTGCTTTGTCGGTGACGTTTCTGGTATTAAAATTTTGATATCATCTCATTTTCTATTCGAATGTTTTCTTTTCGTGCATTTAAAAATGAAAATTCTTTAAAATATTATAATAAAAATAAAATTACTCAAAATTATTGCTCATTGGTTTTAATTGTCAAAAATAAAATAGGTCTTTTGCAATTTAAATTAGTGTTTTGTGTTTTTGATAATTCATACTATAATTGGTAAAACGTAAATAAAAAAGGAGTATTTACAGTTTTAAATTAGTTAACTGATTTTGACATAAATCTGCCCATAAATGGCTTCACACTCGAGATACCTTCTTCAGTCTGGAAGCGGTATTTTACTAACATTTAGCTGAGGTGTTTTGCCTATGATGGACGATCCACAATAGCGCATCGAGGTGCTAACTCAATGGTCCCACTAACTTAACGGAAAAATAGAACAAATTCTATTTAACTTGTTTACGCTGCACTAAATTTTAACTTTCAACTTGTTACTTAACTGTGTGCTTACACACAAGAATTAGGTTAACTTTTATTTAAGTTCCTAACTACTTGTTATAAGTGTAAATCGGGCATTATACCTACTACAGAAAAGTCGTAATTCTGCAGGTAGGTCTTATCCTTATTTAATTGTTGAAAGGTAATGAAGTTGTTTTCAAAAATATTGAAATCAATTGTAAGCAATAATACATTACATAAATTGTCCTTTTAGGTTGTATTAGAGATAATTTAACGTTTTATTTAATCTCAGGCAATGTTCTAACCGGTTTCAATGTTTATCATTCTTTCTATTAACAAATGTGGCTTTGAATTTATAACATTGAACTTAAATTTTATGATTAAGGGCATAAAATTAGCAAAAATATATTATGTATCATATTATGTAATGTCAAAAATCACTACATTATGCAGATTTATTACCGCTATATCTCGATTTATCATGGTTCATACCGATGTTAAATATTTCCGTAATGATGATTATTAAGCATGAATATGTCTTGTTTGTATGTATTAATTAATCATTTGTCTTGCATATTTGGTCTGTTGTCAACAAGACTACTACTTGCCATGTTTGGGGCTAAAAAAGTAAAACGGGAAGTGTATTAGATATCTTGTTTGCACACTCATGATTAATATCGTAGAAAATTACTTATTTTGAAGAATGTTTTGAAGAATGTTTCACAGATGCCCTTTCACTTTAGAGCATAATCCTTGTAAAACTGGCCGCTCTTATTTCAATACGTCCATAGTCACTTTGGTCCACAAACCGAGATGCTGTTATTTATATTCTCGTTAAGATGATAATTTACGTCGTATAAAATTGTGATTAAACTTTTTACGTAAAATACGTACAAATATTGAAGTATACAATAGAAAACAAGCTCTTAAACTGAATAGTCATTATAATTTCTTGTATTTACGCGATTACACATTATAAATGAAACTAATTTTACGGATTTATCGCGTTTATTTTTAATTTTTCAGAGGAGTCACCGACAAGATTGGCTATATCTTAAAGCAGGCTTCGATTAATACATTCTACAAGCCGCTGAAGAAGATTAGTCAGTTTTTACCATCTGTCAAGTGTAATATCCCTCTGCAAGATCCAGGAGTGTACAAACTTGACTGTGAATGTGGGCTCTCTTACATAGGCCAAACGAAAAGAGCAATAAAAAAAACCCGCGTGAAAGAACATATAGCTGACATCAAACACAATAGATTGAACAAGTCTGCAGTTTGTGAGCACATTTTGAATAGACCCAACCACTACATCAGGTTTGACAAACCACAGATCCTTGCAAAAGAACACCGATTCCTCCCAAGGATGATTCGCGAGGCTATTGAAATTAAAAAAACACCCTAATTTCAATAGAGAAGAAGGTTGGGTACTACCATCAGCTTGGGATCCTGTCATCAATAAAATTAAATCTAGGCCCAAACGAACCACTACTGCAAGACAAGATACAATTAGCTCCCTCTGCATAGATCGGACACAAAAAAAATTAATAATTCAAAAACTGACGGTAGCCCGGGTTAACTATGACAATCAGACGTCTAACACCTCAGTCTGTCCCGTGACCATGAACGCTGTAAAGGGTTCGAAACGTCGGGAATTAAGGGAATTAAAATTAAAAATAAACGCGATAAATCCGTAAAATTAGTTTCATTTATGAATAGTCATTATTTGGGACTTTGTAGTTCTCGAAACCGTGCAGATGGAAAACAAGTCGCCGAGCACTGGATATTTATGATATTAAGGAATCTATGAAATGGAAATCCATCCTACAGGATTTCAGATAAATATATGTAAGATAAAAACCCAAACATCCAAATCATCTCACGAGCCGTGAGACCTATTTCTCGAGAATTGTTTACTTTCAATCTAATCGCGTGACAGTGTAAAAAGAAATTCGTTTGGCTTATTTTTCTTTCATATACTATACAATAAAATCTGTTACAGCCCACACACCCGTAAGAGGTTGTTTGATGTCAAGAGGAGTTTACTTGTGTAAACTTTATTCGAGATAATTTTAGCCAACGTCAGACGCAGACATATTACCTACATTGAAAATCAATGCTCACCTAATAACTAAATGTGTGTTTAACAGATAGATCGGCCAAAAGTTACTTCCCAGCCAAGCTAAGGTCAGTAGAATAGAGCGTCTAGAAGACGCAGGTACTGATCCAGGCAATTACGAAATTATTTTGACATTTTATCTGTTATATTCACATTTATTTAATAATTATCATAAATTATGATAATTATTTGAGAGTTTGATTGTAAAACATATACAAGTGTAGGTATATAGCAAAGTTACAAAACGATACTTACTAATTTCTTGTCATTCAGGAAACCAATCGGGCATTATATTATATCAAGATGGTAAGAGCATAGAGAATATACGATATTATTTCCTAAGCACCTGTTTTAATTATTTTTTTATTATTATTATCATTTATTTCAAGTTACTAAGACTCATATACATCCACATTCAAAATTACATTTTATCATATAAAAAAAAAAAAAAAAAAAAAGAAAGATAAAAGAAATCACGAATTATACAAATTAACCATTACAAGCAAAAAATACAAGATACAAAAATATCATCCAAACGAGGCCCACTTACCTCAGTCTCTGTGTGCAACGTGAAGTCCACAACAGCGATTAATATATATACAATCGAGCCGATCCGCCAGCGCTACCAGCATGCCGCTGGTGGCCCCCCGCACTCGCCTCACTAGCGACGCTCCTCGCTTACGTATTATGGTAAAAAAGCAGTCTACGCGTGCTTCAGCAAACATCGCTGATGCGCTGCAATAGCGAGGGAGCCCCAACAACATCCTGAATGCATTGTTGTACTGGACCCGAAGGGCGCTGTACGATCTTTGAGTATAGTCAGCCCTAAAAAGAGTAATCTTTACATCCGTAGAGCATCTTGCAAACCTACGGATCACCATATTAGCTCTGACCGACATCGCCCTTCGTTCCCGTTCAATGTCGGCGTCGTCCCTCAAGGCTGGTGTTGCTAAATGACCTAGATATTTAAAAACTTCAACCTGCTCTAACTGTATTCCATTTAGCATAATAGGTGGCACCTCAGTAACTTTTCTCGACCCACCCCTAAAGACCATACATTGACTCTTTTTGGCATTATAGATCAGCCCGTGTTCAGCCGCATAGCTCTCACAGATACACAGCAACTTTCTGAGCCCACAGATTGATGCGCTTAGCAGTACCATGTCGTCCGCGTAGCTTATGTTATTGAAACATACTCCATCTATGTGACACCCGACATGCCGCTCACTAAGCGCCTCGATCAGACTATTCATATACAGGTTAAAAATGGAAGGAGAGGTCAACCCCCCCCTGCCTCACCCCACATTCCAACCTGTATGGATCCGACATGGTGCCCGCCCACCTCACATTGTTTACTTGGTTCGCATACCAATACTTAAATATGCTTATAAGTTCCTCTGGTATATGGGATGCTCTCATCTTCTTCCACAACATGTCATATGAAATCAGATCGAAGGCCTTAGAAAGGTCAAGGAAGCAAGCGTAAATCGATGTATTTCTGTCAGTATAGTATTTGACAGCACTCTTCAAGCACAATATTGCAGTTTCTGTTGAGAGACCTTGCCTAAAACCAAATTGGTTATCATGCAAGTGCAAGTACGAATTTAACTGTACATTCAGGATGCTGTCAAACACTTTTGCGATAATAGTAGCCAAGGATATAGGTCTATAGTTATTAATGTCTGACAAATCTCCGTTTTTGTTTTTCACCACTGGTACCACAACAGTCTTCATCATGTCAGTAGGAAGGTAGGAGTGTGAAATGCATAGGTTGTACAAAATGGCCAGCACCCTGTACTTATGTGGTCCAGCATGCTGGACATGTTCCACACTCAACCCATCATGGCCAGGGGATTTACCTTTTGTAATGGACTTAAGTGCCCTCATTACGTCTTTGGCCATTATCCTGGTATTTACTCGCTCCCCACTCCCTCCACCCGACGTCTGTGACAATGATGGCCCCAGTGGTGATTTGATGAAAAAAATATCTTTAAATCTATCAGCAATAAATTTTGGATCATTCGCTCCGTCGACACTCACCAGACCAGGCCGATTCATTAATTGATTAGTGTGCTTCCAAAAACCTCCAAAGTCCTTCGCGCAGTGTTTCGCTGCGAGTATATCCATTTTTATTTGAGTCTGATGGTTTTGGCACCATTTTAGCCGAGACTTAAATATTTTTCTACTATCGCACATCTTTTTGTATATAGGTCCAGTGGTAGGGCTCCCCCACCAAAACCATTCCTGAAAACACGCCCTGGCCGTCCTGTGACTATCGTAAACGTGTTTATTCCAACCCAACACTGTTTTAGGTCTGCGTTTATACATTTTACGCTCACTTCCTCGGCCCGCCACCGTCGCCTGCGATAACGCGAGCACAATGTCAGTATACAACTTATCTATCATTACTCTATGAGCATGGTCGCTGCAATATCGATCAGCACACTTTGTAAAATCAACATGAAAATCAATACGACAGAGGCGTCAAACAACCCAAATCACACTCCCATATAACAGGAAAATGGTCTGACCACACTACATCATACTTGACATACACATTGCACACAGAGACCGCTGCCGATTGCGATCCAACACAATGATCTAACCATCGCTTTGACCCACATATTTGATCGGTGTAGGTAAATGTATTGGATCCCAAACCTAACATATTAACGTCAATGAGCTCCCATTTGAAATCGTCACATAGTATATTCAATTCTTTAAAAAACAGTTCCCCAGGGTGGGCATTAAAATCCCCCGTTATAAAAATAGGTTCATTTTCATAGTCATTAGTAATAGCACTTACAGTTGCCATGCAGTCGGTAAAAAAAATCAGGTTTTCTTGTTTGTTTGTCGGCATATACACACACGCTACAATAAAACGGCTTCCGGCCGTCTCAATACGAATCGCACTCACTCGCGGGTTATCACACGCTATCACTGAGACACACGGAAACACACTCGTATTCCAGAGCAACGCCGTTCCTCCGTATTTCCTTCCCCGCAGTAAACCGGCAGAAGTGTCTACTGCCGATGTCCCCGTGCTGCAGAACCTGATGTCGATGCTGTTCAAATACGTCAGCTCTTCTGGAAGCAACCAAGTTTCCTGTAGTGCTATCAACACACATTCATCGCATAGGCGTCGAATATCGCTTATGGCGCTTTTTACGTTCTTACAATTATAGCTAGCAAACTTATAGGTCGCACTACTCATTATTAGTGTGTATCAGGCCGTCAGCCGCCGATAGTCCGCCAGCCCTTCGATTTTTGTAATGTACGAACCTTCTAAATATTATTCCTTCGGGCCATATTTTTTCATCTAAGAACAGGGCCACTTTAGCCTCAGGCACTTAGAATTTATAGGCCTTATGGCTTAACACTTTCTTAGTGTTTATTTTTTCCAAAGATATCCTCTCTTGAGTTTTCACTTTAATATAATCTACAATATCGGTCTCCGCTGTGTCATTATGCACATTTGTTATAAAAATAGGTAACTTTTTATCAGCTGCCTTAAACGATGAGATAGGAGCCTCGGCTTTGCCTCTTTGCCCCAAAAATATAGGTAATATTTTGGCTTCCTTTTAAGTTTATTTACTGTTTGCCACTCGTTTTCATTTACGTTATTAAATGTTTCATACGTGTTTAACTCATGAGAATTGATAAGATTCGCAGCGATTGGGGATAACAATGTAGGTTGCATTCCTGTGCCATTCGTGTCACTGCCCATCGCAACCGTTGGCGCAATCGTTTCCAGCTCCCTCACTGCCGAGGCACCTGATTTATTCGAGAACGCACCTTTATGCATCGCTCGGGATCGCGGCGTACACTCCGTAGCCTCGGCGTCGGTACAGTTATCTGTTACGGCGTCGTGCTCATCCTCAGTAACGTCGTGGCTCAATGTTAGCCCGACAGGCCCACTGGACATATTCCACGCCCCCCTTTTCATGTTTACGCAGCCAGCCGGATTAATAGACGGAGGAAGTGATGCATATCTCAGGTTATACACATCACTCCGTAGTTCTTCAAACTGTTGTGTGGACACGTATGTATTTTTAATTTCTGCAACGTCTGCGCTTAGTTTAGTGAGATCTTTTAGCAGTTTTGTGCAATCGAGATGATCAAATAAAATCGGAGGTAGTTTTTCAAGCTCACGCGCCACAAACACTGGAACAACATCGGGATCTATTATTTTAAAAATACTGATGATATCATCGAGGTCTCTTTCTCCTTTTTTATTCCCTTTTCTCAATGTTTTCCGCTCCTCCGATGGCAAGGACTCAAACAAAAGGGATTTTGATTTACTTATTTCACTGCTCGAGAACGCTGATACACATATTCTTTTTAATGTGTCTTCATCTATCACTGATATTTTATTTTGACGTACGCTAGTAGTTCGTCAATTACGATGCTACATACATTGCACTTTAACGTATTCATTATAAATTGTCGTAATGCGCTCACGCACACCAGCGCCGCGTATTATCCGATCGCACCACCGGCCTTGACCGTGGCACGCGGGACACTCTTAATAGCAGACAGGGGTACCTATTTAAATTTTCTGTCTTTTTCTAATAATTAAATTTCCGGTATAAAAAATAAATTAGCTAATTTATTAAGTACTAGCTGACCCAGCAAACGTTGTTCTTCCATATAAATTATTTCTAGGGAATTTGTCAATCTGAACAACACATAGAAAAAGATTTTTCGGAACGCACCCATAAAATGTTTCACAGGTAGGAAGAACAGTTTGTATGAAAGTAAAATTTTGCTATTTCGATTTTTCATGCAATTTTTCCATAATTTCTCCTAGTTTAAACCTTCCCGACTGCCATATTTCAAAACCAAAATTAGCCAAATCGTTCCAGCCGTTCTCGTGTTTTAGCGAGACTAACGAACAGCAATCCTTTTTAATATATAAGATAAATCAGATTATAAGGCGATCAAAATAGTTACTCTTGTAAAATGTTCATGTGAACATATTTGTTGAATATATAGCTCACGTTCCACGTTTCACCCATATCTTAACGAAGTAATCTCCTATCATAATGTTTTGCCATTAATAGCATCCAAACTCATCACATACCTGTTTGTATTAAGCTATTTGGTTTTGTTACAGAACTCATAACAATGGTCTTCATTTTGTTGTATTAGGCCCCATTTTATAGTACGAGGATTCCGTTCAGAAAGAAATAAATGATTTGTCTTTAAAACTGAACTTTTAGAAATTCTGTGACAGAACGTTAAAAATTGATTTTGATGTCAAATTTCACTAATTTACAACAAATTTCTTTTTCTCATATTTTCTGTGGAATTTAATAAAGCGTGTGTACATTGAATTTTTCACTATTGCGCCGCAAGTCAGCCGCTTCCGTAAACACGTCTGAGATCAAATATAATTTCAAATGTCATCGTTCGTTTCGAAACTATGATGGCCTTCGGAGTCTTCAGTTATTTTCATCGTGTATTGTCGAAATGGTTTTTCTAACATTACTGTCATGCGAATAACATTTGAGTTTTTTTAGTATTCACATATTTCGTGTGTATAATTTTTTGCAGCTGAGCACTGATGGCGAAGTAGTTTGAATGGTAACTGTGCCTTCCCTCATTATCATAACATTCACAAATATTTTATCATCGGTATTTCCGGATCGATATGACTTACTCTCGAGAAGAGCGCTTACTCCTATCTCAAAGGCCCGCAATTTGTGACGTAGTAGACTGTGAAGGTGTAACATTAAGACAGAAAGACGAATATACATAAAATATGTATATAATAATTTATATATATATATATATGATAATTTTTAAATAGCCTATGTCTTATTCTGATGTATAAGCTATTATTGTAAAGTTTCATTAAAATCCATTTAGTAGTATTTGCGTGAAAGAGTAACAAACATCCATCCATACATACAAACTTTCGCCCTTATAATATTATTAAGGATGATTACAAGTGTGAAAATTACGATAGTCCGTGTTATTTGTCAGGACATAAGCACTAAAATATTTAATAGGTTAATCACATCTATCCTTCTTCGAGCTGTCTCGAGGCATTGGGGTTTGGAAAAAAGTTTAATTAATTGGCGCAAAATGTATTTTCCACTGTCTACGAAACATTGTAACAATTGGTAAACCAGTAAAGAAATAAAAATTCCTCACCTAATACAGGTACCATACTATGGTATACCAAGCTGATGGTTGATTCGCCGTCATGTTTAAATGGATTAACTCCGATATGACGTGAGCAGTATTACTGAATTGCGAATGTACGAATGATCAATCGTTCTATTACGCCACGCGATGTGAAATAAAATAACACTTTCATTAAATTTACGGTTGAGGGTCCATAAGCTCCATTGAGCGATAAAAGGGTAATATGCCAAACCACTTAGCGTAATATCGTATGGCTTATTAAATGAGTGTTGGTACCAGTCATCACCAAGTAAAAGCTAAATAATAGCTGTATTTGATCAAGATTCAATCCTCGGCCAAGAAAATCCATACGCACTTTTTGAAAGCGATATTAAAATTTAATATCGTTTGCCGTAACCGATTTTTAGGAGTTTTGGCTACCGAACTATATTACACAAGAAATAAAAGTTTAACTTTAATTATGATCACGTTAAATTTTTACTGCTGGTACAATCGAAAGTGATCACTGTAATTATAAATCAATTACAGTGATCATTTCGATTGTCCAAAATTTTTTTCTGTTTACACCATATCTATTGTTTCTGCGACAAAAACAAATATAATATTAAATAAACATCGTTCACTGAACTAAAACATCCATTAAGTAAATAGTAAATAGAAACAACTTTCGGATCCATTAGGAGCACTTAATGACATTCCGACCCCTATAAGAATCGCTAAATAAGTGAAACCCACAAATAATTTAGGAGAATAGCGTTGATCTTATCCCCATAAAAATTACTACGGACTGAGAAAAGAAACACTCTCACCTTTCAGTCGTAATGAGTAGAAAGATCTATTATTATTCAGTTTTCACTAGTGACTAGAGCCGTGATAGCTCACTGTCCGGGCGCTCGCCCTTAATTCAATATACTCGAGCAACCTGAGTTCGATTCCCGGTGCCGGCACCAATGAAGTTTTTAACTTTAAGTGCTGACTTATCACGTGCTCCGCGGTGAAGTAAAACATCGTGAGGAAACCTGCATATTTTCGAAATAATAACAAAAAAAAAATCGAAGATATGTGAAGTGCGCCAATCCGCAGTGGGGCCGCGTGGTGGACTATGCCTTGATACCCTCTGTATAGAGGAAGCCTTTGCTCAACAGTGGGACATGTATAGGCTGTTACTTTACTTTTTACTTTACTTTTTGACTAGTCTATATTTATGATGGCCAGAAAATAATTATTTCAAAATATTTAAATAAAACACAAAATAATGTAACGGTGTCATATTTTTGCGCCACACTTGAGTCTTAGTACATATTTCTTAGATATTTCAAATTATATACATTATATTCCCGTACTTCTATAGTTTATTAAAACAAGTTTTTTTAATTTACGATTATTTCAGAAGGTTCTCAGTCCCAATTTTCACACCACTATATAGTTTTCTACCTATATACTGGTCACATTGTTAATTTCAAATCCGCGGTACTGATTATTTTTATTACTCTACTTTTAAGGGTGAATTAAATGTTTTTGCTCCTGGTATCCTGTTCATAATAAAGAAATAATATCAAATCTATGATTTATGTATAAGTTGAATCAAGTCTAATCTGCCCAGTACGGTTTATCGCGTGGAATAGAAGCAGGTGGAGATTGGCTGGTCATAATGGCAATATGATTACAAGAAACCGTACGAGGCGAGAACGGGGAGCGGGAAAATAGCCAACTCCTCCATTTCGATTGTTGGCAAAGATACTGTATTTCTTCTAAATAAGATTGGGATAAGTGTAAGTGATAAAGTTAGTTCCGTTCACAGCCAGCTTTATAGATATTATGCTATATCAAGCGCTATATCAAGACTGGCATTGTTTGTTCCCTCATATTATGTCGAACGACTGGTTAAAATTTTATCATGAATATTTGCCAAGGCATTAATGCTAATAGATTATTTTTATAAGTAGGATAAATATCGTGAATAAGGTCTGTAAACTTCATTTTGCAACAAACCTCTCAAAATGTTATTGATATGTTATGTCAGATGGCACTGTAAATAAATATACCGCAGAACCGAACACACCCACATACTCCACATCTAACAACGATAACTGTACAAATATAACTCATAACTAATTTTATATCTATAACAACGATAACTACATATATAGGTCATACATTTTAGTCAGTTCCAAATAGTGGTATGAAATACAAAAGAGGTTTACAATCAGTAATTAAACACTTAATCTTTGTCTTTCGCCTATTATGCATAAAAAGTTAGTTTCATTGCAAGGTGTTAAATATTTTCATAAATTCCGGTGGAAAAGACTTGTGGAGAACGCATAATACATGTGGTTCCTCATTCGCACGCCTTCCCCTCATATAGCGCGGCTGTCAGCAAGTGTTAAGCTACTTAAACATTTGTGTAATAACGCGAGCCATAAATCATAACTTCTCGTGGACGGACAAGCGGTGAGTTCGGCTAGGGCCCGTTACAGCATTGATTAGGTACCGATGCTTACTTCATTTACTAAATGCTGGCACATAATGTTTTCTCATTTAACTTACGGCCAGTTTCTGTATTATTTCTATCTGTAGATTTGTTTGTTTATAGAATTTTGACATAAGGAATAGGGAGATAATGTCAAATACTCCTATCTATCGCTAGTAACCAAATTTACTATAAAGGTACTTACTATATTTGTCTTTATACTAGATAATTATATGTATATGAAATCATACAGAAACTTAAGCAGGCAACCCTTTTGAGATAAGGCAAACTGATTCGGCCAGCGTATAGTGCGAAAATTTGTA